ACCCGTAACTCATCATGTATTACTTGTCAACGATCCCGTACGCTTGTTGGTTTCAGCGAACAATCTTCATTGGCACCTAGCCTAGATAAAGGAAAACATTAATTGTGTCAGAGTTTTTAAGCATAAAAAAGGATGAATAACTAATCTTGACTCTTTTCATTGTTTTCTTCTCCTCTTAATAGGTACCATGGATATAAACATTGGAAGGAGTTTAACAACTTGCACTTTGAGATAGATTGCTAAATAGTTCCTCCCACATTCAATGGTTAAATCCAAATAGTAACTTTTTCCTCTTCTTCCTCTTTAGTAATGCTTTATATATTGAAGACAATGTCGATTATAAGTTTGGGATGAAAAAAATTGAGTTTTTGATTTTCATTTTTTTTTTTTAGTGTTTGTGTGTTTGTTTTTAGTTATTGGTTTAGTATATAATAGAAAAATTCCAAAAACTAAAAAAATTTGAAGAATTCTAAAAATGTTTTCTTTTATTAGGCTGTGTGCTCATGGTTTAGATAGTTTGGCCAGAAATGATGATTTAATTTGAGATTTGGTGTTGATTTATGAACTGTGATAGGTTAAATGCTTAAATTGATCGATAGTCAACCTTGCAAAACTATACTATATGTACACTAAAATTGAGTTTGATAATGTGATAAAATGAGTTGATTCATATACTAGCTAGGTTGATAGATTGAACATAGATGATATACCCAAAACTATCCTAAATTAATTATCCTATACCAAATTTAATATAGTTTGGGGGTAATTTTACTTTGTAAGAAGATATGGACATGAATAGAGATTCCTTGTGTAAAAAAAAATTATGTGGTGATTGTCTTAGATTAACAGGATAAAATTGGAGGAAAAATCTTAAATTAGAGGTTGGTTTGCTTGAATATATGTTTGATAAAGGATATTGCTATGATCAAGGCATAATTTTTTTGAAATGCGAAACTTCTCTTTTAACCCAATATGAGTTGAGAAATTAAGCTTGTAAGAGTATCCAGAAACTTGGTACTCTAAAGTCATCTGATTTGGGAGTTATCGGTACAAGGGTTGTTTAGAAAGCAATGAAGTTGCACTAAAAAGAAAAAAAATATCTTCGAAGAAAATTGGGAACGAGTGAAAAGGAGAAAATTGTTGGTGTATATGAATCATACGAAAAGAAGATATTTGACCATAGAGGGTTGAAAATTGAAGTAGCTTGTAGATTCATGATTGACTACTAAATTCTTCACACACACACATCGATTTTGAACTGGAAGAGTGGAATAGATTTTGGTATTGTAACCTTGAAGCTGTTTGTAGATTTAATATTATAATTTCAAATTTTGAGGTAAAAAGTCAAATTATCTAACCAAAACATTTTACATTTTGTGTATTTGTTAAGTTCGGTTATGGTTTTCTTGAGGACAAACAAATGTTAAAGTTTTGGGTGTTTGATAACTATATTTGATACACGTATTTTAAGCAATTATAATCTAATTTATTGTATGCTTTGTTTATTAGGTAAAGCTCGAAGATTGGAATTGGAAAGAAGAAAAGCAAAAAGCACGAAAAATAACAAAGTATAAAGTTTGAGGACCAAATTGCAAATATCCAATGGTTGATTGGGACCATAAGAGATACTTTGAAAATTAATAGAAGTCAATTAGATGCAATTAGAAGTTTAAAAGGAATGGAATATGATTAGAATATTTACATAAATAGATTTTCAATCACACAAGATATCTTTCAGATTTTTTGTCAAAGATTAAGACTCATTTTTGACATAGTAAACTTTCGAATGGAAAAATCTCTACCTCAAGTAAAATTGTAGCCCTTTAAGTAAGTTTTTCATTGCACTTTGAATCACTTCAATTGGATATCGAGAGAAAACATTATAACCAAAATATTGATTTCTATGCAGATACAAAAAAGTCCGGACGAAGGTAACTAACCTTTCTAGCACCTCTCATATACATCTCATACTCCAATATTCATCAATTACTATCATCACAATAGGAAAATTCATAATTTTCGTGAAAGAATTGAAAGGGAATTGCGAAAATTTAGCCAAGTGAAGATTCAAAATTGATTTTTGGGCAAAAAATATAAGGTGCAAACAGAGATTCATCTAGAAACCAATGAATAGATTCAAGATTTCAAGATTAATCTTCATCTTTTCAATTTATCAAAAATTTGGGTTATATCTTTTTACTTAAATCTGATTTCTTATAATTTCGATATGTTAAGTCAGTTTTATACATTGCTGAGATGAGATGACCCTCTTTATGATATTTTTAGAATTAATTATTTCGACTTTAATTTGGTCTAATTTGTGGATATCTATTATAATTTTTATCTTTTATAAAAAAAAATAAAAAAATTGATTGTTCACTAATTGAATTGTTAGTGAATTTTATTGTTATGGAAAGAGACAATATTATAAGGTTCAATAGAGGATAGATATATACATTTATGTTTTATATGGTTTCAATAGGTGGTCTTGCACTTGAAATGTATTTATCATGTTTGCATCTTTCAACGAGAAATAGAAGGGTTAGGTGAAGAAAATAGATTTGATCGCTATTGAAAGTAGGGTTGTAAGCAAAAATCGCCAAATCGAAAAAATCGAACCAAAACCTGTTTGGTGCCACGTGGACCCAATTAACGAAATAGTTTTGACACAAACCAAACTGGTCAAAATGGTTTGGTTTAGGTTTGAAAATTTTAATTGCAGTTTAAAACTAAATCGGATCGACGAAAAAATATATAAAAATAAAAAAATGATTTTTTTTGAAAATTCATTCAAATATGTAAAATTCAATAGTTTTGTCATTTGTGGATATTTTTGTCAATTTCTAATTTTCTAATACGGATATATTATTATTATCCAATAATTCTAATATATATCTAATAATCTCAAGACTAACATAATCTATCAAAAATCATTTTTCTCTTCAAAATTTAGATGAACTCCAGCCGACACCCAATATAGTCTCGAGCCACTGGCACCACACACTGCTTTTTTAGATTTTTCACCCCACTTCAAAGTTGAATTAAAATCTATTATACCAAATTGGAGACAAAGAGACCTAGACCTTCAGTGATAATATTTGCAACGAATAAAGTTTCAGATCAATAATTTTTTTTGGAGCAAACTAAGGTAAGAATCTGAAACTAAATGTGTTTCATAATATCATACAAATTTAAACTTGTGTAATTATTATGTTTAGATATTATAAACAATTGCTTTATTATTGTGGTTGGTAATTCTCTTTATCTAATCAGTATCATTTTTTTCAGATATGATGATCACGAGATCTTATTAGACATCATTATATTTTTTGGACTTTATATCTAGTTTAGTAAACTTGTATTGTAACGTTATTATATCGTCATTAGCCCAAAAAATGTGAACAAAAATGAAAAAAAACTATGTTTTAATTTATTATGATTTCACTTTGATTTTTAGTTGGTATTTAAATTTATAGTAGATATATTTAGCTTCTATTTGAGCCATATTTTTCATATCATCATAACGAGAAAATTGACCGTTGGAAAGGAGGCTGGGTCCCACACATAAACAACAGGTAACAAAGGCAACTGGACTTGTGGGATAACGGTCCAAATTTTCATTTTTTTTATTTCAAAAATTTGGTTCAAACAGGGCCTTAGTTTGTTTTAGATTTATTGCTAGTAAGATATAAATATATATTAAATTCAATGAATTAATGACATAAAAATAGACGAACAAAAGAATATATGGTGAAATCGACAATTTAAAACTGGGTCAAACCGTTAGGTTTAGGTTTGAGTTTTTTTCAAATCGTTCAAAATGGTTTGGTTTAGGTTTGAGTTTTTCTCAAACCAGTTTAAACAATTTGGTTTGAAAATCTATCAAAAATAGGTAAAAACGGATTGCTTCCACCCCTAATTGAGAAATGCTTTTAATTAAATTAGGAACATTGACCAATATGAATAATTTCAAATTGTTATACTAAAAATGGAATAATAAGGAGGATTCGATATCTTAACAATGTATCTCTCATATTTGAAAAACACATTTACTTGCTTTCACTAGTTTAATTAATAATTTAGGGATTAATTAGAAAAAATTACAACTTGTCTATTATTTGATTAAAGTTGGAATTAATTTTAACTCGGTTAAATACATAGTCCCTATGGGTTTAACACTTTATTCATCATTATATTCTTTAACCACTATCTCGTACACTTGCGAGAAATCAAATGATCAGAAAGCACAAGATCCTATTTGAGGTAAATGGTCCAAGAAATCGTCCACACTAATTTAGTGTCTAGGCATGCATTAGCCAATAGGTCCAATAAATCGCTCAAAATAATTTTAAAATTTTCAAAATAAAAAAATGTGTGCATTTTGGTGTTAATAACTAATACTTCATATTAATCTCATAAAATAAATGTTAGGTACTCTTCTTCGTTAGATTTTACTTAGTTTTGTTTGATTTACTTAAAATTGACAACACACACACCCTAAGAACACTGTATTTGCTTAGCTTTGGTCACAAAGACAGGTCTCTGTTTAAGCTCTGTACCTATGTCAATTTTTGCGAACTAAATCCAAATATAAGGAATTTATTACAGGAAAGACGCTCAAAATCCCTTAATCCTCATCAATTTAAGGCTCGTACTGTGAATCTCATAATGAAGCTTGAATAGAAACATCCAGAAGAAACACCCCTATTTGAATCATAGGAAAGAAGTTACAGAAGCCTAGTAAATCCATAGAGGGATAAAGATGAGATGAGAAGAAATAAAGTTCTGTCTAAGACATTTTACATTTAGGGGAACGTTTCCGCCTACCCATACACAGGCCCGGTCCCGGGGCGAGGCCAATGAGGCTCGCGCCTCAGGCCCAAGACCATTAAGAGGCCTATTTTTGGCCCTTAAACTTTTTTTTTTAGACAATATGAGCCGACTCAAAACTAATTATCCAACGACAAAACAATAGCCCACAATCCGTTTACCCTTAAATCCCAACCCAACTCATATATACAAATCCAATATCACAACCCATTTACCCAAATTTCCAAAATCAAAATTTGAAATACGAATTATACGATTTAGGGATGCTCTTCTCGACGTGCTGCGGTGCTCTCCTATGTCTTCTCTGTTTGTTCATCATCGTCCGGTCACTCGACTCACTCCACAATCTCCACAGGTCCACCTCCGCCCAGACCCTTCACCGGCCGCTTGAAATTTGAATCTTCAATTCTTCATAAGTCGGTTGAAGTCGAACACTCGAACTTCGAACTCGAAGTGTAAGTCGTGTGACTCTGCAGTAGCGCCTGCAGCCTACTCCACTGGACCGCTGCTTGTCGTCGCCCGTTGAGGACCTATCACCTGCTGTATAGTCTGTTTGGGGCCGCACAATTTAGATAAAATTTCTGTAAGTTACATGTACATTATTCACAATTTCTGATTAATTCGTTTATTTATGTTTAGGCTTATTAATTTATTATAATTACTTAATTTTTTTATTGAACAGTATTTTAAACTTTAAAGCGGTAGGGGCGGAGGCCGGACCGGAGAGGCGGGAGAGCTTTCAACTTTGTTGGGACTTAGTTCCTGGCTCCTGCAGTCTGCAGGTTAGAATTTAGCCTTCTTGTATGTGTAATCCATTGGGCAATTTATGTTTGTTACTTGTTAGTTTGTATTATAGGTAACTCAATATTTATCCAGTAGTAAGGGGTGAAGCCCAGCGCCCTAAAATTGAATGAGTCCCAGTGTCCCACCAAAATGCTAGCTGCCATTGCTTCAAAATTCTAGACTAATCTGAGCAATTCCAATTTGATATATCATTATTATCATCGTTCGAATATCCTCAGGGCTTCACCACTGCTCCATATGTGGCCAAAAATTTCCATGTTTTTGTAAGTTCTAATTTTTAAAAAATTTTCCTTTTCACTTTTTGTAAGTAAGTAATTTGGTGTTTCTTTTTCAATAATTATTGGTTCTTAAGCATTCCAGTTGTAGTTGTATTGTTTGATAAGATAACCCATGCTTTCTGTAGGAACAGCAAATAATTGCATTTCTAGATCATAGGAATGGGTCATAAATTAGTAAGTTGGCAGTGAATTAGTGCCAGTGTAATATGTCTGATAATGTTTGTATCTCATCTTAATTTGGGAATCAGAACAATGTAATGAAATATAAACTAATTCTTACATAAGTCAAGTAAAAATTGGGAGGTAAGGCTATTGGACAAGGAACTTAGTTTGATTGATATTAGTTACTATCTGTCTGTGTTGTGCTGTATGAGTTTTAGTGGACATATGTTTTGTCAAATTGACTGAGTGTGGATAAACCAAATTTCAAATGTCACTACAACCAGTTAGTTAGGCATCTTGTAGTTTCGGAGACTTGGTCCGTTCAGAATTTCATTTTGGCATTACAATTAAACTAACTTCGTGTCCCCGGTTTAGTTGTGGTGTGTAAGTGTAATAAGATTGTGGTTTTTGCTTTGGCCCCAGTAGAATTGTTTTAGAAAATATATGACAGTGCCACTGAAATATTTTGGGATCTATTAAGTTGTTAAAATGCATCTTCTGAATTCTAGAAAACCCATATTGCTTGAGGGTCTAGTTAGCTTAGCAAGGCTCAAGCTTTGTCCAAAATGGAATATGTATTACTGCTGATGCAGAAACTTTTATAATGAACAAATGGTTTATCTTTTTCAATTTTCAGAATTCATACAATCAAAAGCGTTGCTAAAACGAAACTAATAAGCACGCTTTTCCTCAACATTTTGTATGTATTTCATGAATAAAATCTAAATTTTTCCTTTATTTTTGCTCGATGAAATAATCAAATGGTGAAGGGTATATACATAGGTGAGGAGGAGGATGGGATATTACGTGCATGTGAAGCTATTTTACTGGATTCTAACAGAACCACTCACATGGGAGTTGGGAGAAGATAAGTTTGCAGATAGTAGATGAAGAGTTCATGGAAATTCTAAGAAAGTAACTATGCTATCAATAATTTATGAGAAAAGTAAATACTGCATAAATGAAAATTAGTATATATAAATACCTTTGTTATATCTCATGTAATTCATAACGTTAATTTCCTTTTTTCTAAGAGAACTTGTGTATATTATAAAATGCAACTTGACATAGTGGATTTGGAGTCACTAAGGGTAAAGAGAATGGGATACATTTTAGTGGTAACTGGCTGTTACTAGGATGAAACTGAGGCAGTTGACTAGGAATAAAAAACCTATGATCTTAACACTTGATAAGATGTAGAGCACTGGTTGTAGGAGCATCTCACAAGCAAGAATTTTTGACAAACAAAGTATAACTCGCTACTTGGAAACTTGTGCCATTTTACAGCTCTATTTGGTGGTGTGAAGGCACATTCTAAGGAAGTGGAAATTTGTATATAGCAATAAGTCTGCCAACAACTATAGTTTTGCCAAATTTTCAATGACAGACAATTGTATTTAAGCATTGAATTATATAGAGAATGTAATACTTTCTTTCATCGGTATTATGCATGTTGATTCTAAGAGATGTCTTTGTCTCAATTTGTAGGGGCCATTATGAATGCACCTGAAGCTATTATTAAATTTTTTAAAATTGCAATCGGCTTACTCCTAGTTCAGAAAATGGTATCATTCTCAATGGTGTAATTCCACAATCTTCATCTAAATTCCATTTCTCTAGTAAGTAATGGTTTGCACTAACTTGTTATTGAAGAGATTGGAATTATTTGAAGCCTTATCAGCTTATATAATTGCAGCCTAGTCGGTTCATATGATTGCTTATTGTACGATGAACAATTGAACAGGCGCACGTAGTAACTATATTCGAAACTATAATTGTGAGATGATTGAGATATTGTGTAATTATTTTTTAGGTTAATCATTGGACATTAGATATTCACCCCTATAGTATGCCTCCTAAATATGAGTCTGGTGCTCAAAAGAGGAAAAGGAAACGAGATGAAATTGCATTAATTCAAAGCAAGTAGGGGATATTAACAAGTACTTCAAAAGCAACAATGTGAATGTGTTGAATGAGGATGAAGTAGAGATTCAACAAGACCATGTTAATGAAGTTAGATGATAAGGATGAAGAAGTGAGTCAACAGGCAGATGTTAACGAAGTAGATGATAAGGAAGAAGAAGTGATGAAGCCCGCCTCTAATAATGAAGAAGATGATAAGGAAGAAGATTGTTGCTTTTCTATAAATTTGGATGATCCTGGGAATTGGAAAATCATTGATCAAAGAACCAGGGATTACTTAGTTGAAAGGGGTCCAAAAAGAGTTGATGACATCTCGTTTCCGAAAGACTATACAAATAGACATTTCGATTCTTTATAATATAAGCGATTATTACTAAATGGGCAAACAGTTGATAGAAGATGGCTAGTATATTCAGTGTCTATGGACAGTATCTTCTGCTTTACTTGCAAGTTGTTTAAAACACAAATAAATGTGACCGAAGTTGGCCAACTAGGTAATGATGGATTCAAAAATAGACATAATTTGTATCGATCTATTAAAAGTCATGAAGGAAATGAAGAGCATTTAAGTTGCATGACTAGTTGGATTGAATTGGAAAATATGCTTCAAACAAAAACTACAATTAATAAAAGCTTTGAATTGTTGATTGATGCTGAAAGAGAACATTGGATACATGTATTAACAAGGATAATCACTATTGTAAAAAGACTTGCAAAAAGCACATTGCTATTTCGAGAAGATGATGAGAGGCTACATGTTGAGTACAATGACCATGGTTAGTGAATTTGATCCAGTAATGCAAGAGCACCTTCGGCGAGCTAAAGCAAGAGAGATTCAATATACGTATCTTGGCAAAAAAAATTCAAAATGATTTGATACAGTTGTTGGCTAATGAGGTGAGAAGTTCAATTGTCAAGAAAGTTAAACATGCAAAATATTTTGCAGTTATACTTGATTGTACTCCAGATGCAAGTCACGGGGAACAAATGTCTTTAATTGTATGATTTGTAGATGATTCGAAAAACTTACCTACAGTTGAAGAACATTGGCTAAAATTTTTTAAGGCAGATGATACAATAGGACTTGGACTTGCAACCGAGTTTCAAAAGGCTTACTCCATGTGGCACTCATAGTCTAAATATAGCATTATGTGATATGGTGAATTGTTGTCCAAAGTTGTATCCTTCTTCGGAGTGATACAACGCATCTACACATTGTTTTCTTCTTCTACCAAGTGATGGAAAATTTTCAAAGACAGTGTACAAGGGTTGACAATGAAGCCATTGTCACAAACATGTTGGAAAAGTCATGATAATGGAGCAAATTGCACAGATAAGAGATGCATTATTTGATTTGGCAGAAAGTAATGAATATCCTAAACTGAAGAGTGAAGCCGAGTCATTAGCAACACATGAACTTCAAAAATTTTGAGTTTTTGCTTGGCATGATAATCTGGTACAGGTTGTTGCATGCTGTCAATATTGTGAGTAAATTTCTTCAAACCGAATCCATGGATATTAATCATGTTATCGACCTCTTGCAAGGACTTGTTTCATTTCTTGAGGAATATAGAGAAATTGGATTTGCTATTGCCAAGGATGAAGCGACAAAAAACGCAAGCGAAATGGGAATTGAAGCTGTATTTATAGAAAAACGCATAATTCGAAGAAAAAAATAATTTGATGAAAGCGGTAGTAATGAGGTAAAGCAATCAACAGAAGAATTTTTTAGAGTTGAGTGCTTTGTTTTTATAATTGATCAAGCTCTATCTTCTCTGAGAACCCAATTTGAACAATTCAAACAATATGATAACACATTTGGATTTTTGTTTAATTTGAAGAGGTTAAGGGGTGCAACTTTTTCAAGTTTATTGAACTCTTGTATGAATCTTGAGAAATATCTTCAACATGATCGGCGTTTGGACAACAGTGGGGATGATTCATGTTCGGAGTTACAAATCTTGATGTGTTATATACCAGGTGAAGCAACAAGAGCAATTGAAGTGCCACATTATTTGAAGACATTGAATGTTTGTTTTCCAAATGCTTATATTGCTTACAAAATTTTGTTAACCATACCGGTTACAGTTGCATTTGCGGAAAGAAGTTTCTCGAAATTGAAGTTGATCAAGACCTATCTCCGATCAACTATGTCGAAAGAAAAATTAAACGGGTTGGCTATGTTATCAATAGAGAAAGAAATGATTGAGTAGCTAAATTATTCAGATTTGATTGATGTTTTTGACTCTAAAACAACAAGACGAATAAAATTTAACTAATTGTTTCAAACATTGTTGGTTTTGATAGTTTATAATATAAATATTTTCTATAATATATTTGGTTGCTATTTTAATGTTAGTTTTTTAAATTAGTAATGGGTCGCATAATTCATTTTTGAAGTTTGCATTTACGTAGATTTCGTCGGGGCCTAATTTCCAGACTTCGTCTCAGGCCCCGAGAATTACAGGATCGACTCTAGGTACTAGTCAAACGTTTGTGAAGATATTGAGGACACGGATCTTGATGTGTTCTTAATTGGTGAAGGTTTAATGGAAATAAGAGTAATTAGAACATTAAGTCCTTACTACTTCACTGTTATTGTGGAAAATATCATTATCTTTTATTTTTATTTTTTATATTTTCACATTCCATTGTGCAAAAGGTCATTTTTGATTCATTTTTTCAATTTAAAGCTGTGAAATTATGAATATACCCTTCCATTTAAATAAAACAAAAATAAAATAAAAGAACTAATTGCAATCATTGCCCAAATCATTTTTAAAAAGTGCAAACAAATCCCAAATAAATTATTAAAAGGGTAATTAGCACATAATGTTCATTCTTTTTATTATTATTGTGAAAATGTCATTACCTTTCTCTTTTTTTTTCCTTTTTTTTGGTCATTTTCACCCTTAATTATACCTTTAATTGCACAAATCATCATTTCTATTCATTTTCATCTAATTTCTCAATGAAATCCGTAAAATGACGAATATATCCTCATATTTAACACAGAAGATAATTTTTTTTTAATTTCTAATTTTTACTAATTTCTTTGGAACTCGTTTGCACCTTCTCTCTTTTTTCTTTTTTCTTTTTTTTTTTAAAAAACAATTATTTCTAATTTTTTAATAGTTATTTGGGATTTATTTGCACTTTTTAAAAAAAATTGGGACTATTATTGCAATTTATTCTTTATTTTTATTTTTTTTATTTATATAGAAGGGTCTATTCGTTATTTCACAGTTTTTAATTAAGAAAATGGATGAAAATGACTTTTTGCGTGATGAAAAGCAAAAATAAGGGTGAAAAATGTCAAAAGAATAAAAGGTAATGATATTTTTCACAATAATAGTGAAAGTTAAGGAAGTTATGTGCTAAGTATCCATGGAAATAACTATGGCACTTTGTCCAAACTAGCAAGGGATGTTATGACAATTAAAATGTCTATCATGGATTTAGAAGGTGCTTTTAGTACTAGAGAAAGAATTCTTGATCTTTTTTGTAGTTTTTTAACCCCAAGAATGGTGGAGGTTTTGGTATGTATTCAAAATTGCCTAAAAGAAACTCCAAGCATTAAAAGATCTTACATGGAGGACATGGAAGAGTGTAACAAATTGGATAGAGGTAATATAGCTACGACTATTTAATGAATTATTTAAATATGTGTTTTAACTAATTTATTTCTAACTCAACCATTATTTTTATAGAGCTTTCTAAATCGGAGTTTGAATCAACTAGTACATAGTTTCCTTCTTTCACTTACACTGGAGAGTTGCTCAGTATTGGCCTCTAACCATTCAAGCAAATTATTCTCGTTCTGTATTTTCCTTCAATCACTAGTCATTTCTTTATTATAATTCTTGTATTGGATGATTGTAATATGAAAATTATCTGGTTTGAATTTGGTTAACCATATATTTTTATTAAATTACCTAGTTTCGATTGTTTATTGGATTATGAAAATAACACACTATGTGAAACATGAGAAGAAAATCTCACAACAATTATAATTTAAATTTTTCTGATTTTATTTTAAGAAACTAAGGGTTGATTTGAAAAATAATATTTTTAAAAGTATTGAAATTAGTAAAAATAAATAAATAAATAAAAGGAAGTGCTGACCCAATTAATTGAGCTCTCTCTCTCTCTCTCTCTCTCTCTCTCTCTCTCTCTCTTTTAGAGAAATTAAGGATTGATTTGGAAGTTCTAAAATTTTAGTATTGAAATTAGGCAAAAATAAAAATTTAAAGGAAACTATCGACCCGACTTGACTTGTGTAGTTTGAATCGGATCGATTCGATTTAAAAACTATCCAGAATTTGATCAAGTTGGGTTGGGTCGATTGGACCCAACCTATTACATTCATAGACGGACATAAGTCAGAAAACAAAGATTTAGTCATGCTTCAATTTGACCTCATTTTCATCCTTTTAATTGGTGAAACAAATTTATGATTGTGATCATCTTAGAATACTTTCAAAATCCAATAGCCACCTTCAATGTCATGTGAGATTCGTATGTTAACCTTATATCCTACCTCTAATTGTTGAGCAACTTCTTTTTGTAGAACCATCCTTCTTACAATTCTCTATTTCTCTTGATTCTCCAACGATCTTCCTATTTTGCTTTCATGTAAACGCACATTTAACAAAAGTGACTTCATTTATACGTGGGCGTGACTTGATAGTTGTTTGAGTACGAATCCAAAAACCATTTTGTCGTCCAAAATCCTCAGAATAAGCTCTTGCTTCATTGGCTATTTTAAATTTTATCCCAACAGAAGGTGCTTAGCCTTGTATTGTTAGATTGAAATATAGTTGTAAATAGAGTTATGCTACAAGTACAAGGTTTTTGTATAGGAAATTTTCCACAGACACAAGTGTCGAAACATCATTCAAATATGGGAAAACAATATAAAACATAGACAGACATGATTTTTCTATTTCAAAATTCTATATGAATTCTGTAGGTTTTTCCTACACTCAAAAGAAAAAATCCTTGTAAAAGTGTCGCAACTGATTGCATCCATCTAAAACTCCACGCATCTTCCCAAGGAGCTGGCTAATGAACTAAAGACGGTAATCGTTAAATAAATAAGATAGGTCAGACAAGTAGCTGTAATATTAATCCAACATGGCAACGGGAAAAAGATTAGTTTTCAAGGATATCTGGTTACTACTTGGTAAGAATTGGCGCAGCAACATCAATTTAATGCAATTACAACGTAGATATATGCATGCCATTCAACTCATTGAAATACTAGAGCATGTAATTAATCACAATAATCAACACTACTAATTTTTATATACTCGTATAAAAGGCTAAACTCAAAAAAATTGAATTTGAGATAAAAGCAACAACAGTGAAATCACAAGAAAAGTGAATTGCAAACCTTCAAATCGCCAAAATGAAAAACAATTGAAGAAAAGGATTTTCTTGCTTTCTGCAAAAAAAGAAATAATAATAATAATAAATAAAAAAACCACTTATATTTTGAAAAAAAAAAATAATGTCAATGTCAAAAATAGTAAAAATAACATGAAAACATAAACAAAAAATTAGCAAGACATCATCAAATTGAGAAATTGAACTTGAATCAATTATCATGAATCTGAATCCGCGAGTTGAAACAGATATTAATGAAATCAAAACTTGAAAAGGAGATTAAAAACATAATTAAAAAAAATTTATTATTTAAAATATTATCTTTATAGATATCATGACATATAAATTTATTTGTGACATCGCTCGTTATACTATGAATATGAAGCATATAATTAAACACCAATTTTTCTTTGATTAATTTAATTTAGATTAATTTTTTTAGAATGGAAAATTCGTAATAATTAAACTGTATATTAATTTGATTAATGTAAACAGTTGATAATTATTTTAATTTTCATTGATTAATTTAATTTAGATTTAATTTTTTTAAATTGAAAAATCGTAATAACTAAATTGTATATTAATTTGATGAATATGAATAGTTTATAATTATTTAAAATTTTTTTGATTAATTTATTTTAGATTAAATTTTTCTGGAAGGAAAATTTTTAATATTTATACTGTTTATTAATTTGACTAATGTGAACAGTCAGTAATTATCTTAATTAAAATCCATTACTTTAAAATATTGACCGAAGCAGTGGTTATTTAAATAAAACATATGGTTTCGTTTGGTCAATCTATAAGCAAAATAACGTGCTTGTCTCGTATCAATAATGCAACGGAGTCCCTATAGGAGGGTCGCGTAGTTTAGGTTGCTTGATTGGATTCTTTCACAGTAAGATCGCCTATACATATAAATTATGTGTTCAAGTTAATTTTGCCGGCATTAAAGAAGCACCGCAACATTGCGGCACCCAAACAGCGCCACGATTTGGAAAAGGGTAGCGCCTGTT